GGCTGAAATCCCATACTTCCGGTACCTACGATTCCATTCTCCATACTGAATGAATAGCGTACTTGGTATGCAGCTGATCCCCTGTTAAACAGACTCGTTGGCCATTCTTGACCATTTATTCGTATTCTCCTCTCATCAAATTTGTGAAGTCTCAAATCAGAAATAGCAAACCGTCGCAAAATTAAACATGTCCTTGGTTTAATCAGTATTCACAAGTTCAGACGTTGCTCTTTGAAAGAACCGGGGCAAGAATTGAGATTTAAGCAGTTGTTTTGCCTTCACCAGTGTGGAATGATACTAACGCTAAAAACGCCGACTGAACGACGTTAATGCGATTCTCGTCAGCTTCAAGAAGGCGGTTTCCACCAAACCAGACGTGCCTTATCATGTCAAGGTAAGGTCGATAGCATCTGTGTGGCAAGTATACTGCAGTCTACTGTTTTCTTCCCACTTAGTGGTACTCATTTATCAACCTCGCAAAGGAAACAGGCGCGAGCGTCCCGAACCGGGTTCGAACCTTGGACCTCTCTGCTTAGAGGACGACCGAGCAACCCTCATCTGAACCAAGCTATGGCAAATTTGGTACTCAAGAAACTTATGGCTATGACAAAGATTGCTCTACGCCGGCATCGAAAACACCATCTTCAGAGTTCGAAAAATACCGCCGCTTAGGCACACTGCCACCATGTCATCTTGAAGTTGTGGTAGTTTCCGGCTGACGTCAGCGGAACTAATTTTTAGAGCCTAGTGACTGAACATGACTGACAAAAACTTAGCAAGGTTTTAAGAGCTGCCCAGATATGAACGGAATGATTGAATGGTCGCGTGGTTTATATGTTTATTCCATAGTTTCCTCTATATTCTCCGCTTTTGTTCATGTAAATATTTCTGAATGAAAAGCCTGTGGAAAAAAGCCATATGACAAGACTGCTACTATAGTTGGTATTACGTCTAAGGAAATTCTGGAGAAGGCTTTGGCGTGATATTCAGAGTTAATTGACTTGATGATATTTTCGAGGCAGCTAACTCTGTCTCTCGAGTGATTTTCGTGAAGTATTTTACCAATCACAAATTCAAATGATGCGCAGGGTTTCTTGCTTCATAGGAATGACTACGTACCATACAAGTTCGAATAGTAGTTATTACACCAAATTTTCCGTTTGGCCACAAGCATCAATTTCTCCATCTCTTGGTGTCATCTATCAAGGCAAGTTCAAGGTTGGAAGAGAAGATCTTCTGTCCATTTTTTACGTGACCCGTACACGTTTTCTGTTCAGAAGCTAGAAAGCTGAGCGAAATATTTTGCGTGTATTTAGTTGAAATTTACTCCTTCCGGTTCCCAGTTCATCTCCGTTTGTAGTCGTTGCTTTTTCTCCTCTACATATTTATATCGAGTTATATCAACTCGTGATTCCCAGAACCTCGTAAGTCATTCACTTTTTGTTTATTACTGTTCTTCGCGGTTCCAGCATAGGCTTGCAAGCAGACAAATAGTATGCACGGATGTGATCCCATGCTGATGTTGTGACTCATTCTTTGCAAATCAGACCCACAGGACGGATTATGGAGAGTCAGTAACAATTAACTATTATACATCTGGCCTTCGACAATTCGGTATCATATTCATTTGCAAATTTCGCTTCGA